TATGAAGGGCCGGCTAGTAATAATATACACTTCTCTACACCAGAAGGAGGTAAGAAAAGTCACTAATTTACCATCCAAAGAACAAGAGAACTATAATCTGTGTCTGAGCAAAAAAAGTGAATGTTTATTTCCAAAGCTTATATGCGTGTCATCTCCTCCTGCGTTTTTGTCTGTAGTACCATCTGCTCCAGGATCCTTCAGGATCCAACAGCGACACTTGGACAGTATTTATGTCGGCTGGGACCTGCCACCAGAACCCAACGGTATCATTACTGGATATTCCCTCAAGTACCAGACAGGTACGCTGGCCCAATATCTGAAACACTCTCAAATACCTCAGGAGATTTTACTGTCTTCACAGGCTACACTTTCAAATCATAATGTACCATTCTGCAGTCCTCCGAGGAGAAACAGTAATAACAGAAAAGGAAAAGGTTTATTTCACTAAAGCTGGTAAAGGTTTCCACATGACACTTGAGTCCACATCCCAGGAGCACAAAATAGCGCACTTAAATATGCACTCAAAAACCAAAATACCGCTGGAGTATTTCTCGAGAGGGTAATGAACACTTGTGTGGGCACTCTGCGAGCAGGTAAGGTACTCAGTTGTGTGCACTCTACTAGCATCAAGAGTCCTCCTAACACACTGAAATTTCCATTCTCTCCACAGTAAATGCCACCAGGGGAGAAGAGCTGCAAGTTGAGGAGTTCCCTCCAAATGTAACAAGTTTCTCAGTCAGGCGATATGACCGCTACACTCGATACAGATTCTCCGTGGCAGCACGGACTCGGATCGGAATAGGGGAATGGCATACGGAGGAGTCACCCCATTACACCACTGAAAGTAATTTTCAACTTGTTCAATGGTTTACCAAATAAACACTTTGAAATGCTGAGTGGATGTTGACTTTGATGATACATGTTCTTACATGTATGTGCCCGTCCTTGTCTGTGCTTAAGTTTATGCTCAGGACCAGGTGGACATCTCCACTCAGGGCTGGTTCATCGGGATTATGTGTGCTGTGGCTCTCATCGTGCTCATCCTACTCATAGTCTGCTTCATCAAGAGGAGCCGAGGGGGGAAATATCCAGGTACAGTGATGATTTCTCATATTCAATCATGTCCAATAACACCACATTGTATGTCTTTTAATAGTATAGCTTGTTTTAATTTCAGTGCGGGAAAAAAAAGACATTTCACTGGAGCCGGTGGATGACAAAGATCAGGAGGGATCATTTGACTACCGGTAAGACAGCTGGTGGAAAATAAATAAGAAACACACGATCAATGCGAACTTTACTGCTACCAGTCTGAAAAATGGGATTTTAGCACATCTTATTGTAAAGTTATCAAACTGTACTATTTTATCTACCAGACTGTTTTTACATCATGTATTTATATTATGGCATGGTAATAACACTGAATATATCAATATGTTTACCATAACACTGTACAGAACTATCATTGTTGAAAATGATAACAACAGTAGCCATTGACATCAATTTGCTTTGTAGCTGTGCATTAGCATTCTGTTTGGTGAATTAAAACTGCCCTAAGGAGTAAACAAACAAACTTTATGTTTACATTTAGTGTTTGTGTCACTACCTGCTATGTGTCTTAGTGCATTACTGCCACCAACCTTCAATCGGTGGAAGAGCAGGAAACCGGACGCAGAAATGCTTATCATATCACAAGCCTTCATGGCGAGTAAAAACAACTTATAAAAACATTGCTCCATAGCGCTACTAGTGGTCAAAAACTTCTCAGGGAGCCTTTCATTTTGATAACATTTTACGAGATGCTGCACAGGTACAAATCAAATCTGGTTACAGTGTTTATGGCCTTATTTATGATAACTCCGATAATACTTTGATTATTTTCTGTTTTTTTTTTCCTTTTTACTCTACCTTTTCTATCTAAACCTTTATTCCACCCAAACCTCAACCCTATTCTTTTCAAACTGAACCACTCAAGGTCTCTTGAAAGGTATGAAAAAACTAAATATTGACACATTGACACACATGACAGTTAAACCATACAATCCTGCATTGGTTGTTATTCATTCATTTGTCTATATAGTATGTTTCAGAGCTATAATGGTATTCAACGGATTACCAGAACTATTATAAACATCATTTTATGAAGATTCTTTTGATGATCAATGAAATGTGATAAAATAATAAATTCTCAGTCATTCTCAAACAACCTCTTCACATTTTAGGATAGCACGTGTCTCCACTCTGCCTTACCCCCGGCGGTATGTACATGTACAATTTGAATGTATTGTTACATTAGGTTGAGTTTGATCCTATAGTGCTGACATAATGGACCTCAAATGATCAACTTTTTAATTTTTTGCTTTATTTCGTAGAGAGGAGGAAAGAGGGCTTCAAAGGGGCCAGCCGTCTATGGAGGCAATGATGAAGCGATCAGACAGTGACGACAGTCTGGTGGACTATGGTGAAGGAGGAGAAATACAGTTCAACGAGGACGGTTCGTTCATCGGCCAGTACACAGGAACCAGGAGAGATGTCAGGGAGTTGGACTTTGGTGGAGGTCTGGAGCTCCATTCTCCAATGAATACCATCTACTCACTGGCATAAAAACTCAAAATCCAACTGGCCTTCCTGACTTCAGCTCAACTATTTGTCATGTGGCTTTACATGCTTGTACCCTCCACCTTGAATTAAGAACTTGTGGTTCTTGAGGTCTGTCTGCAGGAGGTAGCAGCTGGAGCCTGAGGTGCTGTTACCCTCTGTGTCCTTGCAAGCAAAGCAACTGTCATGCATTTAAAAAAGAAAATCATGAAATAGTTGGGACAATACTAGAGATTAGATGCTTATTCATCTGATGAAAAGCAAGCTATACCTTTTGTGTTTTGTATTGCATTTCCTGTAAATAAAAATGCTGTTTGTTTGTGTGTGTGTGTGCATACACATGAGTACACATATTCAATGGAGAGAGGAGGCACATCAGAGGAGACAGAAGTGGATCAGTTTATCATGTTGATAAAAGCAGTTGCAAGGATCAACTTAACTACTGTTATCTTTTTCTTTCAGCTAATTTCAATAATGAGATTTGTGTTATTTTTGCATGTTGGCTGTTTGAAACAAGGGCTGCATACTTTCACGGTCAGGGGAGTCACAATGTAATCCACGAATCCTTCAAATGCATCCTCTTTGTTTTATTTGAAGGTACAAAGTGAGAGTATGAAAGTGTTGCTGGTGGTAAGTGAAGGATAATTAAGTATCTCCAGGGACTAATGATTCATCTGCACAGTCAGTTCGCGAATTGGGGTCTGATGGGAGGCAAGAGGACAAACCATTTGGGGAATAAGCAGGCTGCCAACCGGCTGTAAAATTAGAAATCTCTTATGTTTTTCTATCAACTTGCCTTAACGATCTCCCCATTTCACTTACTATGGAGATGGATAGAAATCATTAATCTTGATGTAACAGCTTTAGTGTACTTGACCCCTAACATTATCTGTGTATTACCACAGTTATGTCCTAAATGTAAATAAAATGGAAATATTTATTTCTAGCATGTTTGATATGACTGTTTTTGAAACGTTTGCAGTAGTCTGGTAGCTGGCAGCATAAAGCAAAACCTAAAAAATATTTAAATCTCATTGGACTCTGGCCTATTCACTACTATACAAGCTTAAGGACATCTTATCTAATAACCATTAAAGTTTATTAGGCCTCCGATATGATACTGTTGTCTTTGATATTGTTGGACTTAACAGTATATTTAGTTTTTATTATTAGGTCCCTCTGATTACAGGACTGAATTATAAAATCATAAAGTAAAGGTTGTCATGCAAAACTTTTCTTTTAAGGAGTTTGTAAATTTCTAGTAAATGTAGAGTCTGCAGAGCAAACAATGTTATTCAATACTAAGACCAAAACATGCAATAAAACAGTATCTTTCCAAATGTTATCCTGTTTCACAAGGCTCAACCGATCAGTGTTCAGGAGTTTTGCACCTCATCTATCACCATTCATTCAGCTTATAAAGGTCTTGAACACAGGTCTAATGCTTCAAATTGTTGTCTTGGAAATAAAAATGAAAGGTTAGGTTGAGTAAACTGTATTTTAGATCGAAAAGTTGGTTAATTTTTCAATTCAAGTTAAAATTTCAAATATTTGCTGGCTCCAGCTTCTCAAATGTGAGCAGGTGCTGCTTTTCTTTGTCTTATAGGAAAGTCAATTAAATATGTTTGGGTTCTGGACTCTGAAATCTGAAAATCTGACCAATTCGAGGACGTCACCTTATAAGAAATTATGATGGCCATTTTTTCACAATTGTTTGCCATTTCATGGAAAACCAATCAATTAATTGAGAAAACAATCTGTAAACTGATTGATAATGAAAAAATACTATAAATAACTACTATATTTGAAGCTAGATAGATGTCAAAAAGTCTGAAGAGGCTATGTTGTGTTTGTACCAATGGAAACCATCTTAATCCTGAAGTTGTATAAAATATATACAATAGATGGATTCATACATTTATCAAGATCACCTTATCTGCATGAACTGGCCAGCAATCCTGATCTGAGGGGCAAGTTTACACAACCTTGTGCTCTAATACAGATTGATCTGGCAATAAAACCAGATATCATCACCAGTCAACTTCTGACAGCTCACAGCAATCTCATGTGACTAGTTTCACAGTGACAATTATTTCCTAAAGCCTCTGTTACACCTCATCGGACCCGTACCCTTTGTCACTGTCTTATCACGTCTATAAAAGGGAGTCCCAGGTGGACCATAGGCACATCAAGCCAGGAAGAGGTAAGTCATCGGCACACAAAGGTTTTAGCACCTTACATTTTACAGGTGTACATATCTTATTATGTTCAGCACTACTACCTTTATTGCAGCCTGTAGAACTGGTTACAGTTGACAAAAACTAAAATGCAATCTAAGAAGGTAACAATTATAACACACAACATTTTTTTTGTTGCAGGTCACTCTGACAAAAAGGCTCAACATGGCTCGACTAATAGCACTGGCTGGTAAGTTACATTCCTTTAGTTGTTAATTCATTGAAAGGCAGTGATCTCATGCAAAATAACTGAAATAAAATGTCTATTTGTTTCTAGGACTGTCCCTTTTTATGTGTCTTCAAATGGGTATGCATTTATTATTTAATTTATTTATATTTCATTTGCTTCTTAACCACCGTGAGCTAGAATAGAAACTTAATTTTAATAATTTCTCCCCTCTCAAAAAGTGTCTTCTACCAAACTGGTGTGCTACTTCACCAACTGGTCCCAGTATAGACCAGGTGTTGGCAAATATCTGCCTGCCAATGTGGACCCCAACCTCTGCACACATCTGATCTACGCCTTTTCAATTATCAGCCATTCAAACGAGTTGGCACCCTATGAGTGGAATGATGATGTTCTTTATAAATCCTTCAATGAACTCAAGAATAGGTGAATTGTTTCTGCCTTCTGTGTGAAAATATCTGCATTCGAATCCAGTTGTCCTTTGAATTTTTGTCCTTTTTCTAATCCTACTGTTTTTATCTCACAGCTACCTGTATAGTTAGTTTGCAGATTAACATTTCATACAAAGGTTATGTTCAACTTATTAAACGTGCATTGTTATAAAGATAGACAGGGGGACATTCTGCTGTATAAGAAATACTTTTACTTTTCATAGTTTTTAATTATTATAAACTGTATATCTAACATTCATCAATACAATAAATTAATATGTATGTGAGACAGTAAAAAGAGGTTACAAGAAAACATACAAACCTACGCACAAAAGAAAAATACGAAAAATGGGGAAATAAATATATACGAAACTTAAACTTTAACTTTTGTAAAAAATAAATATGAAGTGGAAGAAAAAAACTAACATTTTGAATGCAGGACTTTTACTTCTAATTCAGTGTTCTTACATTGTGGGCTTGCTGTTGTATTTTTTACAGCATTAAAGTAAAGGATTCAAGGTCTTCCTACAGTAATTAATTGTAAATCTACATGTTTTTGCACTAATTCTGCACAGAAACTCCCAGCTGAAGACTTTGTTGGCTGTTGGTGGCTGGAACTTTGGAACAGCACAGTGAGTCCATAATGCTTCAACAACAGCGGATAATGAGGCTGTTGGATTAAATTATCTCATATAATGACAACATCACCAACAGTGTAGCTATAAGTTTTTTTTTTTTTACATGTTTACAGATTTACCATCATGGTTTCATCCCCTGCCAACCGCCAGAGATTCATCCAGTCTTCTATCAGATTCTTAAGACTGCATGGCTTTGATGGGCTGGACTTGGACTGGGAGTATCCTGGAGCACGAGGAAGCCCACCAGAGGACAAGAAGAGGTTCACTGTGCTCTGCCAGGTAAGTTTGGAAATCTACATCTCCCCTAATTTGTAGCATTGATAGAATCCTACAAGATGTCACACAAACACAGCATCCTGATCTGAGATATAATCCTAGACACGATAATCCTCAATTATTTCCCTCTTCTGTTTAGGAATTACTCGCTGCCTTTGAAAAAGAAGCCGCTGAGACCAAAAAACCACGATTGCTGCTCACAGCTGCAGTGGCTGCTGGCAAAGGAAACATTGACAATGCATATGAGATTGCTGAAGTCTCAAAGTGAGTTCCTCTGGGAGTAATTTAGCTTTAAAGTTAATTTAAAAAAATTCTGTCTTTCTGTAATCTTTTTTCATTCTTGTGTCACAAATTATCTAACAGGTTCCTAGACTTTATAAATGTCATGACGTATGACTTCAATGGAGCATGGAACTCGTTCACTAGTCACAACAGCCCTCTGTACCGCGGCTCTTTCGATGAGGGGGACAACATCTACTACAATGCGGTGAGTAAAATCCTCAATAAAAGTCCATCCTCAAAATCCTAAAGGCCAAAAAACTAACTCACTAACTGTTTTTTAAAATCAGGACTTTGCTATGAAATACTGGAGAAACCAAGGAGCTCCTCTTGAAAAGCTCCTACTCGGTTTTGCCACATATGGACGCACATTTCGATTATCTTCAGCGGCTAACGGTGTGGGAGCATCCGCCAGCGGACCAGCCTCTGCTGGGCCTTACACCCGTGAAGCTGGGTTTTGGTCCTACTATGAGGTCAGTGAAGTTTTAACACAAGAGCAACCCTGAGACACAATTTAATACATCAGGAAATTTAACATAACTGCAGATTTAATTAATACAATCCCCACATAAATAGAGAGATGTTTCAAACTAAGGCATCACAAATTATGTTGAGGATGAGGTCCAGTGTGTAACATTTAGGAGGCTCTATTGGCAGACATGGAATATAATATGCATAATTATTACACTTTTTATGAGTGTGTAATCACCTGAAAATAAGAACTATTATGTTTTTATTACTTTAGAATACACCTTTTATTTCTACAGACTACAAAGTCCACCATGTTGAACTACCATGTTTCTACAGTAGCCCAGAAGACACAAACCAAACACTGCCTCTGTAGTTTTACCTTTCGCGCTCGGAAGCGGGGTAGTTGCACTCTGCAACTACACCACTAGACGCTACTAAGTCCTACACACTGAACCTTTAAGTATCATTTCCTTTCCTTTCTACAGATTTGCACTTTCCTCCAAGGAGGCGGTTCCAGCTGGATTGATGAGCAAATGGTGCCCTATGCCACTAAAGGAAATGAGTGGGTTGGGTTTGAGAACAGGGAGAGCTTTAAAATCAAGGTAATAAATAACCTATTACTTCACTTCTAATCTATGTTTATGGTGATTAAATAAACAAGATAAAAGTAGTGTATTACTATCACTGTCACTAATCACTATCCTTGCTTCTGAAATTAGCACTGACACTGTGTATAGCTCACCACAATGAAGCTGCACAGTCACAAACAGTTTTTAATATCCCTCATTGAGCAGAGGGTGCCACTCTAACTTCATATATTAATATCACTTCAGGTCTGGAATGTTTTGTGTCTGGCTGATGGCTCCCTAATATTTTGTGAATATAATTTATATGAATTAATCACAGTCACCCAGAGCGTTGGAAATCTAAACCAGGTGCACAAATCACAGAGATCTCATAGACAGAAAATATGATCTAATTCTGAATCTAAATTTCACATATTTGTGTAAGAACATAATTTGGTTGTAGTTGTTTGCAACGTGACACATGAATTATGGTAACAATACAGTTTAAGTTGCACATAAATGGCATAAGACAAACGTGAATGAACAAGTCAGACAAAAGAGCTGCACATTGACCGATAGCAAATCTAATCTAACAGATTAGCATTTCAATATTACAAACAGATCTTTGTCAGAATTTGTCACATGAACTTCACAAAGCACACTATAGTGTCTACTGTACTTGCCATATTGGGAACATAACATACCTTTATGGAAACAAAATAAATAAAAAAAATATATATCATACATGTGTTAGATTTGTTATGTTCTTGTATTATGATTCTTATTATAATGTTAATTTGACAATGTCTAACAAAGATCTCTTTTAGTTCAAAATGTTGCTTTCTTAAATTAAATCAGTACTGTGTCTGGATCTTGTGTCTTTTATAGTCTGCCATGAGGCCACGCTAGACCATTGAGCGGCAGCATACTGTGCGTTCAGCTGCATTTGGTCCTGTGTGAATAGCTTCAGAATGACAAGATGGCAAATTCTCAAACAATAGCCAGGCATCATTGCACCTTCAACTGGTCAAATATTTTAATACAGCAACCCAAAATGTTTTTTTTCCCCTTGAATTCAGCTTAAATACTTGAGGGAGGTATTAGAATGTGTATGACATGAGGTGTTACACTTGTACTGGTTATTTGTAATAAAACAACAAAACTTGCATTGTAAACTGCAGCACTCTCTTTAACTGATATTCTACAGGCACAGTATCTGAAAGATAACAAATTTGGAGGAGCCTTCATCTGGGCTCTGGATTTGGATGATTTTACTGGACAGTTCTGCAGACAGGGGAACTATCCCCTCATTAGGAATCTGCGCTCTTTCCTGGATTCAGGTGAGCAGAAATTCGACCAGAACACTGCACAGCATGTTAAAGTTTCCTCATCTCCACCTAGAAAATCTTCCTCCCATAATGTCATCCATTTAAATACATTATATTTTTCTAGATTTTCCACCTCCCCCTCCTGTAACCACACATCCACCGGTGGTCCCTTCAAACCCCACAACTGCTGCTACTGCTACTGCTACTACGACTACCACTTCCAAAACTACCACCACAAGTGCTGTTTCTGGAGGTGAATTCTGTGCCGGCATAGCTGACGGCCTCTACAAAAATGACAAGGATGGAAACTCCTTTTATCAGTGCGCCCATGGACGCACATACATCCAGAGATGTCCAGTTAATCTTGTGTTCAGTGAGAGTTGCAAGTGCTGTGACTGGTCTTAAATAAATATCTTTTTCATGAAACAAAATGGTGTGTTTTATTTTCAAAATGTTGTTGTGTAAAGTAAATACTTTCATTTGCATATGTTATTCAAATTAAAAAGAAGCCTAAATTAGAGAAGTCAACACTTTGTTTTGAAATTAATGCTCTCCAAGTCTTGTGGAAAACCATTTGTTGAAAAGATTTTCTTACCAGATTGGTCTATATTCCACTATGCTATATACACACTATAGGTTTTTATACGCCTGTCTAACTTGAGGTTTGTAAGAGGAGGATTCGTGACTCTGAACATGCATTGAAGCTGTGGCAGTTCTGTCTATAAATCCAAAGAAGCACAAGCAGTGCTAATGTCCCTTAGTTATCTGACCTCAATGCCACTAAACCTCTCTGGAGAACAGAGGCAAATGAAACCATCACAAGACAAAGTCTGGGATGTTTGATGATGGAATAGTGCAGACTGACACCTTTTGCAGAAACTGTATCTGCTAATCGATGCAAAATGGGATTAATGTAAATGTCAGACAGACCAAATATTGAGAAATATTGACAGAATGAGTTTTAGACAATGGACTGACATTGTCCACTCACAGTTTGTCTGTTGCTATGCTGTCTATGGAGACCTTGTCTTTCTTCATGTGTCCAGAAAGATTTCTCAAAACAACAGAATATGTTAAATTGTAAAATTTTCTTTGTGAGGTCAAAGGTCTCTACCAGCTTCTGTTATTTGACTTACTTGGATGAAGCAACAGCTTAGTGACCTAACTTTTGGGTTAGACAGTTTGTTCTTGGTTAATGATTGCAATGGTTTGTTTATTTTTTATCCACAAAAGGAAGCAGCTACTCAGTGATCTTCATTAGTTATCCAAGGCAACCACAATGAACAAGCTAATTCTAATCGCAGGTAAGGCAAAACAAAAAGCATGAAATTGTTTTATTAAAATCAGTTTTTACCTAATATTTACTAATTAAATCTGTAACTTTGAAGGTCTTTGTCTTTCCCTTGGCAGTTTGGGTGAGTTCATGACTGTTTTACTAGCAACTGAACAAAGCCTAAATTGTTAAATGTCTACCCATTGCTTATTTATCAATGGTGAATAAAAATAGTTTTTTGGTCTTCCATGTTTAGTAACATCCACCAGACTGGTGTGTTATTTCACTAACTGGTCCCAATACCGACCTGGCAATGGGAAGTTTATGCCTCTGAATATTGATCCAAACCTGTGTACCCATCTGATTTATGCCTTTGCTGGTATTAACGAGGCAAATGAGTTGGTCACCATAGAATGGAACGATGACCAACTCTATGCAGACTTTAACGGACTCAAACAGAGGTATGTCCAATATTTTCTTGCATGATATCTGTTAAATGTTGAAAATGAAATGAAATGAAAAATAATCACAGCTGGAAACTTAATTGGAATATTCCCACAGGAATCCAAATCTAAAAACCCTGTTAGCAGTTGGAGGCTGGAACTTTGGAACACAAAAGTGAGATATTTATCATGAACAAATCAATAAAGATCAATGTAGTGCATATATGTCTTCTTGAAAACAAATTTCATTCCTCAAATTCTATCCAGATTCACTGCAATGGTGTCAACACAAGCCAACAGAAATACATTTGCACAGTCTTCTATCAAACTACTGAGAAAATATAGTTTTGATGGACTTGATCTGGACTGGGAATTCCCAGCTGCAAGAGGAAGTCCTCTGGAGGACAAGCAAAAATTCACACTGTTATGCAAGGTCAGATCCAGAATCACTGTTCTGGTGTTCATCTGATGTTTAACATGAATCATGAACTGACTTTTCCATGATTCTATGTTATACAGGAACTCCAGGAGGCCTATGCAGCTGAAGGAACAGCAACTGGCCGACCCCGATTAATGCTCTCTGCTGCCGTCTCTGCTGGGAAAGGAACCATTGATGCTGGTTATGAAATCGCAGAGATAGCAAAGTACACCAACATATTATTCTCCACATTGTCTCTATGATTATCTGTCATCATGTTTTGATGGACTTGATCAAATATACATTTCGACAGGTATGTGGATTTTATTAATGTGATGACATATGACTTCCATGGCACCTGGGAGAGTGTGACCGGACATAACAGCCCCTTATACAAGGGATCGCAAGACACCGGGGACCATGTTTACTTAAATACTGTGAGGACTTCATTCTTTAGCTGCATCATCTAATGCCAACAGGCTCTTTCTGTTTGTTTCTCAATAAGTGCATTTCCATCAAACAACTGTTTATCTTCTAATAGTCACATAAAAGTAGTGGATGGAAACAGGCATTCATTTGCATTTTCTTTAGCTGATTTCTGGAAATTCAGTACAAATTTACATTGCGTTTGAAAGAAAGAACTGAGTTTTGAGTATCTCTATTTTTATTCACATTTCAGGACTTTGCCATGAGATATTGGCGAGACAAGGGGACTCCTGTTGAAAAATTAAATATGGGCTTTGCTACATACGGGAGATCATTTAGACTGTCTACTCAATCCAGTCAGGTTGGAGCAGCAGCCAGTGGTCCCGCTGCTGCTGGTACTTTTACCAGGGAGGCCGGCATCTTGTCCTATTATGAGGTGAAACATGCGACAATTCATTGAATTTAACTTTCAGTTTTTATTAACTCTTAGTTGTCGCTACAAATAACATTTTTACATTATTTTATTATTACTTTATTGTTTTGTTTTTTCAGATTTGCACTTTTCTTCAAGGGGCCAGTGTGCACTTGATTGAGGACCAGAAAGTTCCATATGCTGTCAAACAAAATGAGTGGGTTGGATATGATAACAAAGAAAGTTTTGAGACTAAGGTAGTCATGTGTTTCTTTAAAATGTTGCTAAATTATTTTGCCTGATTCCAGATTTACTGAGTCAAGTTAAATATAATTTTAAAGATCTGTTATCTATTCAGGCAAATTACTTAAAAGAGAACAGATTTGGAGGAGCTTTCATCTGGGCTCTGGATATGGATGACTTCAATGGACAGTTCTGTGGACAGGGAAATTACTCCCTTATCAGCTATCTCCGCTCACTTGTAGCTTCAGGTAAGTTGAAATAATATATTGATAATTGTAATATAACAAGATAAATCAAAATATATTATAATGCACAGAAAAATTGACCTCTTGACTTTGATTAACTTTGATTGTACAGACTGCTAACAATTTATCATTATTTCTACAGATCTTCCTCCCCTCCCTACGACAGAAACCATCGTAAATCCAGTGACTCCACCTACAAAGAAAGATCCACCTCCCACTACACCTCACTCCAGACCTACAACCACTACTTCACCCCAAACCCCAGGCAACAACTTCTGTGCAACCAAGCCTGGTGGGGTTTATGCCAAACCTGATGCCCCGGGTTCCTTTTACAATTGTGCCAATGGCATCACCTGGATCCAAAACTGCCCTGCTAATTTAGTCTTTCGAGATAGCTGCCTTTGCTGTGGCTGGCCATAAAAGCCTGCACATCATTTTATATTCCACAAGCTCTGATATCTGTAGTTATCAACCGCGAGCTATAGTCATTCTTACTGAGTTACAGTTAGTGTTTATTTGAGTGTGTTTTTAAGTTAATTTAACTGTGGAATGTAGTACAGTTGGTTATCTAAGAATTTCCTGTGGAGTATGATTGTTGACAGCTAATTAAACCTTATCTAATGCATTAAACACACAATGTTAATCCCTACAAAAGCATTGGCTTCTGGATTTTTTTCCATTACACTGCAACATAAAGTATATATAAAATATACTATAATAATACTATTATAATAATGGTTCATAATGTATATAATAAAAAGATATAAGGTTGACGTTATGAACTTCATCAGAAACTCACAAGACCTAATAATCTCACACATTCTGAAACCAAAGTATCTTTTAGTTTTATTATTATTATTTACTTTTATTGTTTATGCAAGGCACTACGTGGAAAAACATGCCTAAAAGTAAGCAGTGGATATTAAAATCTACTAGGAGGAGGAAATAAACCTTGACTGTTATGCCCTCATAAGAATGCTGCTTCACTTTTGTGAGCACAGACTGTTATTAATTCAGTCATCTTTACATACATACATACACTTACAAGAAATGTGTGTCATGCACTTGCTCTGACATCTTTGTTGCCCTTATAGTTAAACAACAGGGCAGGGTGCGACAACATACATGACTGATATCTTAATTAGAATAAGGAATGCCTTAAATTATACCCCAACGAAGGTATGTCCTAAATCACACGCTGTGAGCAGAATGTCTTAAATTACTACTCATGAGGACAGCATCCTTATATCAACCCTGCTGCCCCTTTGATCTGCTTTTCCTTGTAAGCCACACTTGTGCTGCACATTCAACAACCTTTTAGGTGACGAAAGCAGAGGCTGGCAAGAATAGTGAGAGAGAAAAAGAAAAAGGCATACACAATATTCTTAATAGCTACACATTGCTGTCCCCCAAAGTTCAGTCCCAGCTAGGTTGTCATAATGTCAGGTAAACACAAATTAGATTGCTACACTAAGTTCAGCATATATGTTTTATTAGCCAAAATGCCAATGGCTCCAACGTTTGGAGCAGGACACGTTTTGAGTGTGGAGTGTACTTCTCCAAACTTCAACACTAAATGTATGCTTAATTAGTTATGAATAAGTAATTCTTTTGAGCCAAATAAAAAACAAATACTAATATTTTAAACCAAGTTTTTGGCAGCTTAAACAAAACCCTGTAATGTGGCAATGCTGATGCCCCCTTGGGAGCATAATTATTTTTGAATATTAGTATTTCTCACTGATTCACCACTTATTGTATGCATGTGTATCTGTGAAGCAACAGACTGTGAAGCAAGAGGAAGAAGGAGGAGCTGTGTAAGAGGGATGGAGCGTTGAGAAGTCTTTTATAAACAGTTGCTTTTCTGTGTAAACCTGCTATAATAAGATATTAATCATATGAGATACCTGTCAGTATCAGTAGGCCGTCTCAACGTAACAAGCCATATCCCAGCTACTCAGCTGCACCATAACAGACTAGCAGTGTCTCTCTTGAATAAACCATTCTGTAGCAGATTACCTTAAACCACACTGGCCACCACCAAACTGTTGTTAGAAACTGTATATACATATATCATATATGTCAGTAGCACATTGAGTGTTTTATTAAGGAGACAATCCAGATGACAGATGCAAGCATTAACTGTGCAATTTTTAAACATGTTTTTGTAACAAAATCTGGGTTGTGTTTTATAAAAAATCACTCATGACTACTACTAGAAGTATAATCTAAAATGATGTAATGTAGTCGAAAGTAGAAGGCTTACTGTCAAAGTACGTCACATCCACACTCAGATCCAGATCCACACACACAGTTACAGTACAGCTCAACTACTGTCTGGTTGGTTGTACTGAAACTCACAGGTGTAATTAATAATAATGAGGATGACTCCATTCCATTGAATTCCATTGTCCCAATGAGTAAGCTATGCTACAGAGCCAGTATTCACAAAACCAGGACACTGACACTAACAAAACTGCATGTTTTTTGCCCAAAACTGCAT